TTCTCCTGCCCCCCCGTTAATGGCTGGGGGGGGGGGGGGTTATTACCTGAGGGGGTGGAGGCCCCCCCTGCCAGTGAGGAGACACAGAGCGGGAAAAGGGCGGGAGGAGCGGGGGAGGGGCGGCAAGCTGACAGTGGGGGGAGGGGCAGGGTAATGCTGGGAGAGGAAGGGGGAGGGGCAGATGATGGGGCAGAGGGAGAGGGATGGAGCAGAGGGAGCAACCGTAGGGCCAATGTGGGGCAAGAGGAACAGGCACAAGGGGACAGAGGGGTGAGGGAAGGGGCAGTCCCCAGGAGGGCTGGGTGGAGGGGCAGATGCAAGGAGGGCAGAGGGGGAGGAAGGGAGCAGAGGGGTGTGGACAGAGGGGTGTGGGGAAGGGCAGGCCCTAGGAAGGCAGAGGGGGGAGGAGATGTGGGCACCAGTGCGGCAGAGATGGGGTGGGGCCCAGAGGACCCAAAGGGGGGCCCAGGGAGGAGACCCCAGGCAGGCCGAGGGGCAAAGGGAAGAGCAGGCACCAGGGAGGCAGATTCCCAGGAGTGCTGTGAGCGAGACATGAGGAATCATCCTTCCGCTCTGCTCTGCGCTGATCAGGCCTCAGCTGGAGTCTTGTGTCCAGTTCTGGGCCCCACATTTCAGGAGAGAGGTGGAGAAATTGGAGAAGGTCCAGAGAAGAGCAACAAGAATGATGAAAGGTCAAGAGAACATGAGCTAGGAGGGGAGGCTGAAGGAATTGGGCTTGTTCTGTTTAGGAGAGAGAAGACTGAGAGGGGACATGAGAGCGGTTTTCAAGTATCTAAAAGGGCGTCACAAAGAGGAGGGGGGAAGTTGTTCTACTTGACATCTGAGAACAGGACAAGCTGCAATGGGCTGAAACTGCAGCAAGGGAGATTGAGTTTGGACATTAGGAAAAACTTCCTGCCTGTTGGGGGTGAGACACTGGAATAAGTTGCCTGGGGGGTTGTGGAGTCTCCATCCCTGGGGCTATTGAAGAGCAGGTTGGACACACACCTGGCAGGGATGGTCTAGATGGTGCTTGGTCCTGCCGTGAGGGCCGGGGACTGGACTCGATGACTCTCGAGTTCCCTACCAGTTCTGTGGTTCTGATGGAGGTGAAGGCAGAGAGGGGCCTCAGGGAGCTGGAGAAGTGACCAGAGGGGCTGGTACCAGGGGCTACAGGGGATGAGATGCAGGATCAGGGAGGCAGAGGGCAAGGGGCAGGGGAGAACAAAGCAGAAGGAGGAGGGAATGTGAGGTACCAGAGTGGGGATGGGGGAGGGGAAAGGAGTTTGTGCTGAGGGGAGAGGGGTGGGGCAGGAGGAGAAAGGGGAAGCAAGAAGGGGCAGAGTGGAAGAGGGGAGACAAATGCTGGGGGACAGGGATGGGGAAGGCACCAGAGCAGATGGGGGTGGTGGTGGCAGGTTTGATCCTCAGTGGGTGGGAAGGCGGGGGAAGGGTGAGAGAGGGCAGAGGAGGAGCAGGCAGATGGGCAGCAGTGGGGCAGGAGGAGGGGCAGGTACCAGGGCTAATAGGAGCCAAGGGGAGCCAGTGAGGGGAAAGGGCAGGAGGAGCGGGGGAAGGCTGGGAAGGTGTTGGTGGGGTGGGGTGGGCGGTAGGGGACAGGATGATGCTCAGAGAGGGAAAGGGAGGGGCAGATGAGAGGAGCAGAAGGGGGGCCATGAGGGGAAGAGAAGCAGGCAGCAACAGAGGGGGGGTGAAGGGAGGGGCAGGTTCCAGCTGGGGTTTCCCTAGGACACCCAGGGGGGTGTACACCAGTGCTCCCTCCAACTGTTCCTAGCTGTGTGCGGAATACATTTTATGACGTGCACTGAGGCGCACCCAGGAGACACATGGGCTGTGGCCACGTGAACGCTCTGCTGGTCCACTGGGTGGCTCCTGACTCTTCCGAGCGCGCAGAGCGGGTGTGACAGCAGGGCCCAGACGAGCTCTCCCGGCTGCTCTCTGTGCTGGTGTCAACGGGGCTGGTCCGGCTGCTCTGGCCAACCCACTAGTGTGTAAACAGGGTCTGAGGGAGCACCCCCCCCCA